CTGGGGCCGATGCCAGCTGCCCCATCTGACAGACGCTGAGCTGGCGGGGAGGACCATGCTAGATTTGGGGTTGGACTCTGGAGAGCAAAGCACACCTGGACTTGCAGGCTCTAAAGGCCAGCAGCGTGCCGGGGAGGTGGAGATTGGCTACCAGACCAGGCAGATCAGGTGTGTAAGGAGCGATGGAAAAAATGCAGCGCTGAGGTAAGGGTGCTTCATCTTTTATTCCATCCCCAGTGGGTGGGTGTGACGGGAGCCGCTGCTCTGCGTGGCAGCACCACGGCATCAGTGTTCCTGTTCCTGAGCTTTAACTGCGAATTTTTGTGTGTTTTCTTTATGGCCTTTTTTTTGGATTTAATTATCTTCTTGTAAAGCTAGCATATGCTGAATGTTTTTCATTCTTCTACAATTTGTGGATGTTTAATTCATTTTATGTTTTTAATAATTCTCTTCTGGGTTTTTTGTTGTTGTCTTTTTGAGGTAAACATCGAGGAAATGGGATTATGTATCACTTTGTGCTGTTGCTGGGCCCCGGCTGAGGGGAAGGGTTTTTTCATTGTCAGTCATGTACTGTACTAAAATTGCACCAGCTTAAACTCCTTCATTTTTACAAATCAACACTGGTTAACTGCAAAGTTTGGCCTTGCAAATTTATTAGCAGGTGTTTCTTGGAAGGATCGATCAGTGAGCAAACCTGCAGTTGTCCTGCTTGCTGGGGAGCCTTCTTGTCCAGGTGTAGCTCTTGGATGCTGACAGAAGATGCATGACTTGCATCTTGTCTGCCTTTGGTAGCAGTTGTTGATTTCTTTCCTCATCTGTTTTCTCTTCACAGTTTGTGTTAGTCTGTGTAGGTTCCTTTGCTGTAGTTTAAATGTGAAGTTTACAATAATGCACAGCAAATAATGAAAAGATGTATTCTCTCAATGTCTTGGGATTAATTTTTAAATGCCATTTGACTTCAGGTTGGGTTTGGGCAGTTGCCAGGACTTACAGGTGACTGAGACATGGATCAAGTTTGGAGAAAGTGAGGTTTTCTAGAGAACTTCTCATGTTCTGTTTTTCAGGGATATTAAAAGTGCTTTAAAAATCCTGCTCCTGAACTTTGTGGAAATCAATCTTCTTTTTTTCAGTAACCTGTAGCTCCTGGCACCTGCACAAACTCGAACTGCAGAGAGGAGGAGTTATTTTATGTCCAGTTCTCTACCCCTGTTAATGTCTGCTGCGCTTTTGCGCACATACTGAGGTGAAAATTCACATTCTGGCCCTTTTCTTACCACCTCGTATTATACCTGCAGCAAAGTGTGGATTCTTTTTATTGGCTGGAAAAAAGTCAACGTTTGTGAACTGTTCCAGCAGTTTCTAACATCTTGACTTTATTACTTGTCTCCAAATATATGCTGATGCTAAATATACAGATTTTATGCTCATGTAGCTGCTGGACTTAAAATAGAGTCACTTGTGATTTATGCTGCTGTTCGACCAGCAGCAGGTTTATGCCTGCTAGCACTTGTTAGCTGTTCTTCTGCCTCTTGTATCTCATTCCTTATCAGAGACTCTGGGAAGGGGATTCTGACTCTGTTTCACTCGCTGCTGTCACACACACACTGCTATATTTGCTCTAAGAATGGGGAAGGGAGGACACTTGTTTCTACAAATGTTTTCTTTGTTGTAGTACTGCAAGAGTTATACATTGAATTTATGGATGACAGTTCAGACAGTGGGTCCCAGGAGCTAAAGTTTTAGTGGCTCTACTCCTGATAAAGCTGTCGTCTTTCTTGCTCCTGTCTAGGTTTGTTTTTTTTCTGATCTAGCCCCCTTTTTGGGAGTGTGCAACTCTATTGGCCACCTCCTGGCAGACTTTTTATGAGGCAGTGTCTCAGATTTGCTCCAGAGAGCTGAGCCTGACCTATCCCTCCCTCTTCTTCCAAATATGAGAGGAAAGCCCATTTATTGAATAGAGGACAAAAGGTCATGTCATGTTACAGTAGATAGTCACATGCTTTTCCTTCTCCTTTTGCACCTAAAATCCAAACCTAAAAATCCGGCTTAAGATCCAATCAGTGTTTAATTCCAGGGCTGCAGTATCATTGATATCAAATACCCCTGACAACACTTCTTTTAAAGCATCTCCTTGTCATGTTGTGAAACATGTTCTTCTGAAGAATGGACCTGATCTGGTAGATGCCGCTTTACAACAGCAATATTTTGGATACTGATAAAGAAAAGTAAAGACATTTGCTGAACCCTTTCACAGGGTTTAGCAGGCAGCCAAGCCTCTGCTGTAAAACTGGGAAGAAGCACCTGATTTGTGCTTTCTCCTTTTCCTGGCCGAGGTTTCCTGTTTAGACTAACACTGTCGAGTAAGTACGAATGAGAGGTACAAATTACATTTCTGGAAAACTGAGGCAAGAGAGAGAAATATTCCAAGAGGTGCTTCAATGCTAGGCTGTGAGCTGCTGCTCTGCCAGGGTTTTGCCACCCCCTTGCCTCCCCCAGCTGCCTGATTCCTCTGGGAAAGCAGGTAACGGGAGCAGTCAGCTAGCCACACCAACTGGTTGAAGGCCACGTGAAGAGAGTTCATACGGTTCGTATGCTCATCTCGCCTCCTAATAGATAATGCAATGGCAAAGATGCCTAATTTATTGTCAAAGTTGTTTAACTCCCTGATGTCTGATCTCAGGGCTGTGGATCAGCTGGAGAGCAGCAGCCGTGCTGCGCAGTGATGGGAGCAGGTACTGGGTGTGCTGCTTAGTGTGAAGGAACAGTCTTTGGCCAAAAATTGGGTATTAGTGGGCTTGGGTGCAGGCTGCTTTTTAAAGACTAATACATTAACTTCTTAGAGATGCTGGATTACTGGCAGGAGGTTTGTTTGGGCCTCCTTGCTAACAATTTTGCCATTGATGGGGAAGGCAGATAGCATGTTCTTTCTCTTGTGGGATAGGTAGCAGAGGTGGGACATATGCCTGGTGTTTGTCTTTAGTTTTTCACTGGTGCTTAAGTCATGCTGTTGAACTCTGCAAAAATGACCCTTCGGTTTTACAATAATTTCTCAGGTAAGAGCTGGAGATTCCTGTGCATTGTAAGGAATTATTTTTTTTCAATTTAAACAACTGGTCTTACGAAGATCTGTGTGTCTATACCAGCCTTAAAGGTGAGAGAGAAAACAGCAGCAATTTTGGAGTTAAAAACCGTCAACAGGAGTTATTTGGAGAGGAGCACAAGCATGTGAAGAATTGGACATGCTGTATCAGGGAAACAGCTGGGGAATGTTTTTTGATTAAATATTTTTCAGTTGGATGTTTTACATTTTTCAAAATGAAAGGAAAAGGGAGAAAGGAAGAGGAAAGGAAGGGACAGGCCTTTTAGAAAACACTGGAAATGAAGACAATTGAGCAGCAGATCATCAGTAGACCTTGAGACAGGTCCATTTCTGCTCAGAAACAGTTTTGGTGTGGAAGCTTTATGTTTGTGGAAATAAAAGGAACAACATCAAAACAATTATTTTCTGGATCTGAATTGAAACTTTCAAAGGCTGTTTTTAAAAGCTTTCATTTTTTTTTAAAATTCTATTTCAGACAGAATTCAGATTGCATTCTATTTCAGAAAAAAAAGGTTTTATTTTGGATTTAAATCTCATATCCAGTAACAAAATTGAAACAAGCACTTCCTTTCCACATATTAAAAAAATAAAACAAAAACTCTCTGAAAAAGTTGCAGAACACGGATGTGCTACAACTTCTGCTCTTTTTGGTTTTCTGTCTTGTCACAGTTGTCTAAGTGTACTAAATTGTGAGGCTTGTGTTACTTTTTCTTTATTCTTTTTCAGTTGTTTAGGCTAGACGATAAAATGCACATTAGTGAAATGAGCGCCCATAGCTAGACATCAAAATCCTAAATAAACTTAAGCTGATTTTCTAGCCTGATTGTGTCCTCACTAAGCATTCTACATATGTAATGACAACAGTGATATAGTAGAGTTGGATTTGGAATTCTGTTTACTTTGTCTTTTTAAGTGAAAATTTAGGTCAAACTCATTCAAGGGATAACCCATCCATCAGGGCTGAGGTAGAGCAGCATTCAGCTCTCTTGCTTGCTTCTGTAGTTTGAATTTCCATTATCCATTTCCTGGTGGATTGTGCTTAACCACTGTGCTGTTGTACATTTTAAGGAAAAATTACTTGCAGTTTCTAATGTTGACAGTCTTCTGTTCTCTGGATGAATGCAAAATTTTAGAGTCCAGAGGTGGAAATGCTGTGTTGTAATATGGTATGTAATATGTAAATGTATGTGATCCAAATCTGGCAGAGAAGATGTGTGTTCACATTCCTCCCAGCAGACGTAGGAATCAAGCCTCAGTGCTCAGGCTTGAAAACAAATCACTGAGCTATTGGGTGAGAAGGAGGCTTTATTTTCTAATGTTCTTTTTAGAAGTTTTGTCTCTCATTTCTTTTGTTATTATTAAAAGAACATGAAACAAAGGAATAGTATTTTTTTTTTCCATTTCAATAATAAAACAGGACTGCTTTTTTTCATTTCAATAAGTAACATTTTTTGTCCAAAAATAACAGGGATATTTTCCTTGGTTTTCAAATTGTGCTTGAAAGCTCCTTCTGTAGCACTGAGTTTTCAACGTCTGCCTAGGGAGTGCAATTACAAGTCAGCATTTATTTTTAATTGAAACAGAGGATCTGGTGCATTAAGTTTTGGTGACACCAAAGGCACCAAAGGCCTGTGTTAATTTGGATCATAGGACTCACAGCTCCCTTTCCCTTTGGTCAGTTGTATGGCAGGCATATATTCCTTGTCTTCCTTACCCTTTGGTGCTGGTGTTTCTTCTGCCAAAGAAGCCTCTGCTGCACAGATTAAATATAGCCCTGGCAGCCCTTGAAGACCCTGAAATATATTGTGAATCCTTGAAAGTGCGACTATTAGTACTGATTGCCAGTTTCCTAAGGGAAAAAAGTGTTTGGAAACATGGTAAGACTTTATCTGTTATTGGCCCCTAATATTATCAGCCAAGTGCAAAGAGCAGGTTGTGTTTATTCCAGCAGCCTGTAAGATTGGGTCATTGATTGCAGAAGAGATTTCAGAAAAAGGGAAGAAAAATGAGAATGTGTTTTTATCAGTGTAGCTTTGCTCACTTCAGGATATCTTGCATGGTGCTGCATGGATTCGAGAATCCATTCCCCAGCCAGGCACTTCCCAGGAGCCAACCTGAGCTGCCGAAGCAGTGCCCTGTCCTCCTGGCACAACAGCAGTGTGGGCGTGGTGATAGCCTCGTAATTAGTCAGAAACATTCCAGGAGAGGATTCTTTCAGGACAAGCTGCCCAACAATGACTACCTGTCTCATCCTCTCATGTGAGGAAATGCATTCACCTTTAATTTTATATGTATTGATACAGTTGAGAAAGGAAAGCAGGAATTGTTTCTGCACTGTGCCCAACTTGATCT